TTTGAGGTTAGAACTCTTCAACAATGGCGGAAGCTCCTTGAAGACAACTCCAATGGAGGAGAAGCACCATAAGAGGTTCGGTTACCTCTTGAAGAAGTGAAAAAGCTTAAGGAACCAAGCTTCAAAGTGAAGAACTTTTGAGAGAGAACTAAGAAAGAACTAGACTCTAAGGCTATATTTGGATTAGTGGTAGAAGGTGAAACAGAGGAAGATGAAATGGAAAGAGAAGTTTTTCCATTGTAAAATAAGGATGGGCTATATTCATTCTATTCTGTTACTTAAACTTTCTTTTCCCCAAATTAGAGTGCAATTGATAAAGCCAAAGCTTTTGAACTATGAAATGACTATTTTATCTTTACTAATTTTGCCTTAAACATAGATAAGTCGCTTCTCCAATTCTTTTATCTTTACTTATTTTACCATCATTCCATTTCTAGCCACCATTTTCCACCATTAAACTCCAAAACAAATTCAGAAAACCCAACACCTTAATCAGAAAAACTCCACCTTTACCTCGTCAATCTACGTCACAATAATGCAAAAGGGAAAATTGTACTAACCTACGCTATGGTATTCTTAAAAGACATCCACACTTCCTCTAGTTTGTAGAAAACATTCACCACCCCTAACATAGCATCAAACAATAACCCTTTAAAATTGGTGTATTCTTATTCATCTAAATAGCCCGAACACTAATCTCTTTCCCCAAAATAACAAAAAACACACAGTGAAAAGAAAAATCGAGAGAAACTTATGGAAAGATCAGGCACTTCACAAATAATACATAGGAGAACTATTGAGAATCTGGGAGTGCACAGTATAATTTTACCTCTACAACATAGAACTATATTCACCTTCTTAAAAATCGTGGGATGCAGAGTTGTAAAGTCCTATGGGTATCTCCCATTAACATGGTAACTTCAGTTATTTCACGAAGAGTGTGTCACTTGATTAAACAAAATAAAGGGGTTTGTGTTGCTTGATTAAACAAATAGGGGGAGGTGAATGCTTATTTAAAAACTAGAGGGGGTATGAGTGTAATTTGAGGAAACCTTAGGAGAGGTGAGAGTAATTTTCATTACATAGTGTTTGGTTGGAGGAGAGGGAAAGGGATGGATTTTTATAAACTTTTCTTGTTTGGACTTTGGTTCAATTTTTTTGGAGGGGAATGAAGGGGAACAAAATCTCTCCTCTTCAAATTTTAACTCCCCTCCAATATTGAGAGATTTGGAAGGAAGGGGAGGGATTTTCGCTTAACATAGTGTATGGTTGGAAGGGAATGTAAGGGAGGACAGGAGCGGGATTCTAAAACATTTTTAGTACAATGTCAAAAATGTCCTTATTTATATTTTTAAGAGTTAAAGTTATAAGGATACAAAGGTAAATTAGTTTTTAAAATCTCTTCCTTCTCCCTGTGAACTAGCAAGAAAAGTGTTACCTCCCTTTCCCTCAAAATTTCTTACTCTTCCCCTCCCCTTCCTTCCCTCCCCTCTCCTCCCTTCCTTTGAACCAAACAAGTCCTAAAACATTTTTAGTATAATATTCAAAATATCCTTACTAATGTTTTTGAATTTAAAATTATAAGGATACAAAGCTAAATTGATTTTTAAAATCTCTCATCTCCCCTTGTGAACCAAATAAGAAAAGAATTACACCTCCTTCCCTCCCCTCCTTTGAACCAAACAAACCCTTAAAAAAAAATCCATTCAAATGAAGCATTTCCTCTTCTCTTCACAAACCAGTAAAACCACTAATCTAGTATTTTTTCATTCAAGTTATCTTCTGTTATGTCTTTTTACTCTCTGAAAATTACTTCTGTGGGGTTGAAATTGACTGATCTCAGCTCCTCTAAAGTGAACAACTTATTTTAGAGGACTAAATAAGTAATCTCAACCGCTAATAAAAAAAACCACCACTGATATTACCTGCACATGCCTATCAAAATTATGAATGTGTTACCTCAGTTTAGAGGAGACAAATTCTGAAATCAAATTTATAAACAATATAGCCTACTATTCATTTCGTTCTATTATTTTTCAATTCCCTGAAATGGAATCTTCGTTTTGTTTTCAACAGACATAAAGAATAGAATGACATTTTTAATCCAAATTATTCCGTCTCAATATGTTTCTGTTCCATTAACTACAACACAACCAATTCAAACATAGCCTACATAAAGTGTTCCATTCCATGCAAACCATCTTAATGCAAGGGGAGTTAATCCACAAATACCCAAGACAAGTCAATGGCCCAGCTTTCAGTGTGAGCAAGGCTATGAACGATGGCTATCCTGCTCTGCAAGCTACCCGCTTTGCCCAGCTTCGGCATCAGACCTGGCGCCACCAACTTCACCTGCCAACACATTATTCTATTCGTGTCAGTCACAATGAGGCATTTCGCCGAACACCTGAGATTGGAAGGCGAGAATGAAGAATGGTGCAGACAGAGGATAGCCTCGCGGGTCGATCAGGGACCATGAGCTCGCCGGAAGGGTGGTAGGGCTCCGCCATGGCGCCATCGAGCCACCGCGAAGCAACGGCGTCGCCGAGTCGCGCCTTCTCGAAGGGGTCGCCGGTGTTCAGAACTCGGAGCGCCGCTTCCACTAAGGTTTCCATCGAATGAGTCAGTTTTTGTTTTCCCTGTGGATGTGTTAATACCGAATGTTTTGTACACAAAAAATTTAATTATTTACTACAGTTAATATGTTAATGAATGTTGACTAAAATTTTGATTATTTACTGTGGTGTTTTAAATTTAACCAAAATCATATTTAAGTTTATATTTTAGAAAATACATTCTTTATTCATGACCTCACAGTCAATTTTTGAATTAACAATAATTACATTATTATAAATATAATTAATTTTTATATTTTTATCTTATGGATTAAAAAAGGCCTTTGATAATATTGGATATGACATGTTTGTTATTTTTTACTTCAATTATGTTAAATGTCATGTCAATATATTTTTTTACACTAAAAGATCATAAAAATTAAATTTTAAAATTTATCGGTAATTGTTTATTGTGAAGTAATAATTTTATAGTGAAAAATTATGTCAACATAAAATTTAAAACAGTTAATATTTGATATGGCATTTTAGTTTAAAGTATTTAAAATTTGAGAAATGTAATTTGGGGGAAAGTTGAATGTGGAAATGTGGTGATACAGAAGAGTGGAGAGTGGGTTGAAGTGTTGTTGTGCGAAGAAGAAGAGGAAGAGGAAGAGGAAGAGGAAGAGAATGAGTCAGTCAACACACACACACCAAAGGCTCTATGATTTTGCGAAAATGGCTCTCATCAACATCTTCGCTCATCCCTACGCAACGGTTCTTTCTCACTTAGTTCTCTTATTCCTTCGCTTCCCGCGTTCTCATTCTCGCTCTCGTTTCAGGTCTGTGACTTGTATTGCGGAGATGCTGATGCTGATAAATGGGTCGACGCGCAAATTGGCCACTACATTGGAATTGGTACTCCTCTCCTTTGCTTCTTCTTCATGTTAATCTCAATTAATTGTTTTTGTTTTTCTTGCCGTAGACGCGTCTTCGTCTGGAATTGAGCAAATGCGAGAAGCTTGGGAGAGTCACAGGAAATCTTACACTGCCGAGTTCTTCCAGGTTGATCCTTGCGCGGTAATGCTCACTTCTCTCTTCTGCCTTTAACTCTCCACATAGTTTCACTTCAGATTTTGTTAGGGTTTCTTTGGGCCTGAATGGTGAACATGTATGACAAATTTAGTGTAAATCAGTCTAATATTTTATTTTCACTTTTGTCATGTAAGGCACACACTTCGCCGCCTTAAGGTGTTGAAACTTGAAACCCTTTTAGACCACCTTGATTTGAAGTAAACAGAATTGTATCTATTGTTAATATTAATTTGTGATTTTTGACAGGAGAATATAGAAACGCGTTTGGAGGAGAAGACCAGTGTGGCTGATGTTGTCTGCTGTTTGCAGCATTTGCAGGTCTGACTTTCACTTTGTAACCATCTTTTGAACCATTGTATTTGTTGATTTATTTGGCTATTTACATGGAGCTATAGAAGCTGTTCAGCTTGTTATGTAGGTGTCTTGTTTTCTAACAAAATATTCTTCAAAAATAGGTTAAGTAAACCCTGTTTGAGTTTCAGGTCCTTTTTGAAATATAATACTTTGGTGCTTGCAAATTTGCAGTTGTTATCTCTTTGAATTTTGTTTTTAAGTTTATCCTCTCAGATTTGCCTGTTGGTCCTCTTCTGATTATCATCTCTGATGCAGTTGTGTTTTGAGACTGAAGAGAAAGCACGGAAACTGCTGCAGAATGTGTCTTCTCTGCTGAAACCTGGGGGCTATTTTCTTGGTATTACTCCTGACTCATCTACCATATGGTATGAGAGTTGTCAGAAGCCTACTATTATTGGATTTAGTTGCATGCTCTCTCTCTCTCTCTCTTTTATTTTTATTTATTTATTTATTTTTTTTTACATTTTTATTTGGTCTATAGGTGGAAGAACATTCATTTGATTAAGTGTCCAAATAAATTTTTGTAGATTTGACTAAGGGTTTACCCATTTGACACCAGTTTTTGAAACATAGTATCACTATACACTCCAGTTTGAATGAACCATTTCATGTACTTCAGGTCAAAATATGTAAGAATTTTCCTTGATTTGTCTGCTCTTAGATTTCACTGCAAGCAAAAATATGTTATTCTGGAACAATGCCCTGTGATACTTAAAGTCATACATGTACATTGCCCCTCTTTTTCAGCTTCATCTCTTAAATTATATCTCTCAATTGGATAATAGTAATACTGCTTTTGCTGACATTATGATTCTTTCCTAGGTGTGAGATTTCTGAATTATGTCTTTTAGTTAGGTTATGTATTTGGTTATTTACAATCATGGCCCTAGTTTCTCCATCTTCTTTCACTCTGTTATTCCTTTATTAATGTTTAGATAGTTTCAAGCTCAACTTTCAGATTGAATTTTGGGGTTTTGGCTTAGATTTAGAGTTTTTCTACTAATGATTCTTTAAAGGATGCCACTTTTCAGTTTTGTCAGGACACTTTGAATGGATATGGCAAACTGGTTTATTTATTTCTTTGTATTATCATACATATATATTTATAATGACTTCCCTTTCTATGTAATAGAGAGAAAAATAAAAATAAAAAAGTAAAAGAATAGCCTAGTGGTTTCTGATGAAATCTGCATAAGAAATCCATAATTATATCGTGATTCGTGAATGATCTTATTTTGGTTAGGCAATTTTATCCATCCTCCTACGTGCAATTGTCTCTATCTATTATTTATATATATATGAATTGCATCCATTGCATTACTTCTGATCTTGGACTCCGTTGGTTCTTGTCTTCATTACTGTTTTTCTGAGCATTCATATAAAGTCTATGTGAGTTCTTTATTCACAAATATACTGGATAAAGTTAACATTGTAGCCACGTAGGGCCAAGTACCAGAGGAATGTTGAAGCCTATCACAACAAAAGCAGCAGCATGAAGCCAAACATTGTTCCCAACTGCATCCGGACAGAGAATTACATGATTACTTTTGAAGTTGAAGAAGAAAAGTACTTATCTCCATAATTGATCAACTGTGTGTTGCATATTCTTTTCTTTGGTTATTTAAGTTAAAATCTTGTTATTAATTTGAATCTGTTCAACATTTCCAGGTTTCCTTTATTTGGAAAGAAATACCAGTTAAAATTTGCTAATGATGTCTCTGCTGAAACCCATTGCTTGGTTCATTTTCCAAGTTTCATCAGGTTTTCATCTTACTTCATAACTCAACTACTCAAGATGGACGACTGTGAATTGTTGCGTTGGTTGGTGCCAATGAGTTCTGTTGATTATGGTCCCTGATATTACCTAGCAAATATGATTTATAAAAGGAAAGGTTGATTGCAAATTTTTTAAATATGTTTTTCTTTAAACTTAAAATTTCAGTCATAAAGAAGTTCCAAACAAGCTGAATTTGACTTCATTCCATGAGGAATGTAAAATTAAAACATTGAAAGAATGAGAATGCATTTATGACTTGTACTTGTTTGGTTCATACCTCATATCTTAAATTATGACTTTTAAAACAATCTAACGTGTTTTCTTCACAAAACACAGGTTGGCAAGGGAAGCTGGCCTTGAGTATGTGGAGATTCAAAACTTGACCGAGTTTTATGATGACAACAGGTTAGTTTTGCTTTCCCTGGAGAGGACTGATACTTCCAATTCCTTCAATTATAATGTTTGTTATTAGCATTTATTGAGTTTGAAATACTTTTTATTGAATATCCCTTTTGTGATTGTTTTGTAAGAGCACAATTAGCAGGCCTGCTAACGCACTATGTTCCAAACCTCTTGGATCCTAGGGGGAGACTTCTACCTCGTTCATATGACGCGCTAGGTGATGCACTACTTGTTTTTTTAATCTTGTTCTTGTTTATAAGTTTCTCGGTTTCACTTTCACCTACTGTGTATGAGGATACTCAGATACTGTATTTTCCGCCCCAATCCAGGTCTCTACACCACATTTATATTTCAAAAGCCTGACCCGGAGATTGCACCTCCAATTGCAACTCCACTCTTGCCGGATGCTAGTTATAATCACGATGAGGTAATCAATAGATACTGTAGACTATTTTACATTGATTTACCACTTTTACTTTGATCAATTTTGATTTAATATCCTAGAATGTGTCAGGTGCCTTTTTATCTTTTTAATTCTATCACTTACTACCCTTATAACTTGCTGGTTTAACATTCTCTAATTTCTCTTCAAATAGAGTCATCCACCATGCAAACAGCCTAAAGATTTTGTTTATAAATTTTATTTTTAAAAAGCTTGCTACTGTCTGGTAATCAAATTAAGCACTGACTCATTACTGACATTGTGAGATCTGTTCAACATACCCTTCAAAATATATATAAATTATTAAGTAGTGATCCTTCCTTACACTGCACAGAAGAAAATTTCTTGCTCCAGGTGAATACTGAACGTTAGATGTGGTGGAGCCCACTAAGTATGGGTTCTCACGTTTCACTGTTGGATTTGGACCTACACATACCTGATAGGCGGAATTCATGGTGTATATAAGAATTTAATTTTCATCGAGTCATGCTTGCTTTTTAGGAAACTTGCAGGTAACATCAGTTTAAAAGAAATGAAAAATAATTAAAATTTTAATGTGAACTAAAAGGTGTAATTAAACATGTAGTCTTTCTATCGTGATCAATGTGTGATTTTGCTTTTTCAACAATTTTTGTTTTATTATAATCTCCCAATTTTTTCAGTTGTTACAATCAAAATTTTCCGTTAGTTTTTTCCTGTGTAAAGTCCTGAAACCTTTATTTTCTACTCAAATAATTAAGGGTTTATAACAACTTTGCCGTAAAAGATTATTCGAAAGGTATTCGACATTTGATAAAATTTAAATAATTATGTAGAATACGAGGAGAAATAAGAGGAGGGGCAAAATTTGAGGTTTGTGAATTTGAATGAAATACGATGTTTTGTTTGAATGGTTTTGTTGATTCAATTTATGTAGATTTGAGAAGAAAATGAGAGTTTTAGAAAAACAAAACAAGATTTGGTTATGGCAATTAAAGAATGGGAAATTAAATTTGGGAAACAAACTATTCAGAGGCTAAAATCGTACGTTGGCTATAACAAAGGGATAAATGATTTAATAAAACCAAACTATAATAACAATTATTATAAATTTCCAGTCATTCACGTGGTGATGAATGACTCACTATTTTATTTTGTTTATTTCCAATATATGTATAGATGAGTCATTAATAGAGGTAAAGAGGCCCAAACCAAAAAAATCAATTAAATTATATTGGGAAAGTTCTTTGTAAGTGGTACATTTGAGACTTTAAAGCAAATAAAAAAAAGAAGCAATTATGTGTATGATGAAAGAGTTGATCTTTACCAACCTAACGTTTTCATGTACAGTCAGAACTTACTTTCTTTAAGCAAATGAGCTTGTTTTGTCCAAGCTGACAAATCCAAAATTGTTTCTCACTTTCATGGTCCAGCTTTGTATCACATCAGTACTAATCATGTGGAAATGCATCTGCCTCATGAATTTTGCTTTGCCAGAATATTCCTTTCAATGGTTTTATAATTAAAATATAACATTATTTTGCATCTATATTATTTATTTGTTTTTGTTGGGATGCGTTTGCAATTCACTTTTTTTCCATGGTGTTCTTGTAGCAGGGAATCAGCTGGCGAGAAGACGAAATAATAAATATAGAACCTGCTATTGGGCTGGGCAAGATAAGCGAACAAAAGGGGATATTGGGCCCTGGCCCTGCAGATTTACGTTTTCCAGAAGCACTTTGAATGTTAGGAATTCATATTCACTGCAAAATCATGGTGAAATCAATACGAAATTAACTATTTGTTGTTTCAGAAAATCACAGCTAGTTACACTTACTGTGTTACCAAACATGCAATGCACTGAAGCTACAGGTTTAGGTGATTTTGTTGTTTCTGATGCAATTAATATTTTACTAGCAAATGGCAAGCAAAAAACAAAAAAGGCAGATAGGTGTTAACTTCTTTTTTAAATGGTAAAGGTTAGGTTTGGTTGTTTTCATTGACATGTAGTCAATGTTCACGGATTAGTTTATCATGTATTTACATATTATTGTACGTGTTAGCTTTTCTTCCAGGCTTCTGCCAAAGGTATCCCAAAAACAGTAGAATTAAAAATGTAGTGTTGAACAATTTTTAATTGATACCACTTTCCTCGAAATAGGGATAACCATGAGTCAATATTACTAGTCTTGTGTTTTTTATCTTTCTCCAAAAGGAAATCAACGGTTGATGCTTTTTATGGTTTGGATTTTGCGGGAGCAGAATCCTTTGTCTCTAATTATAACTTAAGATTCTGTTTGGAGTAATATTGAAGTGTTTGGTTTAGCTTAAATCATCAAAAACAATTATTTTTAAAGTTCTAAATAAATGTAGCAAAATTAAATCCTTAAACAACTCGTCCGAACATGCATTCATAGATCCTTACAAATTTAAATTGGTTTGGTACACAATTAATAATGAAAAGAAAATTACAATCTTTCGCTTTGAATCCACGCTCTTTAATTTCTCTGAGGTTTCATTTACACTTGCGTACTGTCTAATATAAAAATAAAGCGATGGCTTTCATTTAAAAGATAAATTATATTAATGATTTTTATAATATAAACTTGATTTCAATTTTTTTTTATATATATAATCGAAGGGAATTATATCGATTTTTGTATTAGAATATAAAGTTAATGGCGCGCTTTTAAATAACTGTTCTTATAATATTTTATATATTTTTTTGGGAAAAAACTTGTAGGTAAAAGGACTTCTTATTTATTATTAAAATTAGAACACTTCATACTTTGTTTATTTAATTTAAATTAATAAGATTTAATAGAAAAAATAAAATAAAATCGGAGGATGATAAGTTATAGACGTATCATGGTAATTACAATAGAAAGAAAGCGAGTTTAATTAAATTTTTCTATTTACATAGGAGAGAATATATAAATAATGAATAAGGTAAAACTAAAATTATTTAAAATAGATATAAATGAATTAGTTAAAGAGTATACGTGTCTTAAGAAAAAAAAAATCTTTATCTTTTTTTTTTATTCGTTCCTGGAATATCCAGGCCCCGATAGCAGTGACTAATCTTCTCGTTACGTTGGTGGCACCTGAAAGGGTGGGATAACTGGCCTCAAGATTTAATGCGGCTGCATACACAAGGCAGGATTCAAACTCCTAACCTTGTTTAAGCGTGAATCAACCCTTACCGCTGAACCACACGCTTGGGGTTAAAAAAAAAATCTTTATTTATTCTATTGTTATAGATATTTTAAATAACCAAGATAAGATGCCGAAGTAAAAGTCTTAGTTATGTTATTCTTTCGAAAAAATTCACGTAAAAACTATGGCAGCATTTTTTCATCCACGCCTCTATATTGTATATCTTTCATTAAAAAAATGTGGGACTGCCTTAATATTATGTTACTTTTCACAATTATAACAAAACTTTATATATTACATTTTATAGAATTTGCATGTTACTTTTGGTGGGTAGGAAGTTTTTTATACTTAGAAATGATTCTTGAAAATTATAAATATTGAGAATCATAATTTTTAAGAATAATTAATATCTATTTGATTATTTCTTAAAATATTTATATAAGATTTTTGGGAATTATAAATTTTCTGATTTTGTTACAATAGTATATTTTTAGATATTAAATATTTTTATAAAAATATATTTTATTGTAATAATTTTATTAGATATATTTATTTACTCAAATCTTATTATAAATATAATATTAATTTTTTTATGATTTAGTTAATTTTTGAAAATAATAAAAAAAAATAGTTGCATATAAAAATAATTTTTTATATAATAATATTTATATTTTGATAAAATTTAAACTATTTTAAAATGTTAAAACTTACTGTTAAAATTATTTAAATATATAATTTAATAAAAAAAATGTTACCTTATAATTAGAAAAGATAAAAGTATATTATTTTATTTTATTAAAAAATTAAAAAAAAAAGTGTTAAGAAATAATTTGTAAGAAAAATAGAGATATGAAAGGGAGAAAGATGGATTTATGAGAAAGTAAAAAGAAATAATTTTAAAAAAAATATTATTTTGGGTGAGTTTTTTTTTAAAATAAATATCAAACATAAGAAATCGATATTTACGATCTAAAATTTTCATGAAAATAATTTTTTTTCTCTATTAAATTTTTTTTTTCTTTCTAAAACTCCATAACTTAATGGTTGTCAATCTAATATTGAAACAAAGGGAAATTCCAAATGCAAATGCCAAGAAAAACTGTGTTAAATACTCGACCTAGTTAGTCAAATCTAATCAAACATTTTCATCATACAGCTGTAGGATAATCATTACATTACAAGCACTCATTAAAAATAAAAGTTAAAAATGTACCATATTATATAATATAAGATAATATTTTCTTATTCAATAAGCAACTAATGAGTGTTAATTTGAGTGAAACAAACTTAACTTCCTTAAATATATAATTTTGACTTTGATTTGTGCATGTTAAAAATATCAACTGATTTTGTTTTAGAATGATGACTATCAAATCTAAGCCAATAAACTTATAGATATTATCCAAATTCGTACCATTAATTTTATTTTTCAATTGCTTCGTTCAGGTACATTCAGCCTTTTACAAAATCAGTGAAAACTGAAAAACACTTAAAAAAATCCTGTTATTTAATAAATAGGAGATCACGACCAAGATTTTTTTTTTTGCTGATTAATTTTTTTTTGTACCAGTGCTTTTTTGAAATAAAATAAATATTTTTACGCTTTTGATGTATTTGTCTAATTCTTTTAAACAAGTAATTTTCTAGTTTTTTAAAAATACAATTGCTATTTACTTATTTAAGAATTTTTTTTTTCCAAAAGTACTTTTTTAAAGTTTAAACAAACAAACTCAATATTATATAAAAGAGAAATATTTAAAAGAATAATGTTTTTATTCAAGTATTTTAGATAGAAAGTATATAATTAAAATAAAGATTCATTAAAAATAAAATAAATAATTTCTTAACTAAAATTATTTATTTACAAAATTAATAAAATTTCATACTAATAAGATACATAAAAAAATATTAAAATATGTTGACTCAGAAATGCTGTTAATTTATGGTCATAGTCTTGAATCTTATCCTCTTAGACAATAAAATAATCTCTTATATCTTTTGTATGCTGATTTATTACCAACAACTTTATTTTTACTTTTTAGATTTTACACGCGATTGATTGGAAAGGTTGACATCATCAACCAAAACTAGCATTTACAAAGCAGCCATACACACGCTTCAAATAATAATAATAATTATTATTATTATTATTATTATTATTATTATTATTATTTATCTTTTAAACTAGTTAATTAAAGTGTGATAAATAAATTATAAATATGCACATTTATTTTTGATAATGTCCTTCGAATAATTTTTGGTTCTTTTATTTGCTTTTGTTTTTGTAAGAGCATAACTTTTTGAAGGAAAATAAAAAGGTTACAGATTGATTAGTCAAAGACTGAAAAAAGAGTTTAGCAAAAAGAAAAAGATGATGAGAACCACACACCAAACATTTCTTTATCTTCTACCAAACAAAACCTGGACTTTGCAATTCGGGTCGTAAACGCAGCCGTTTTGACATGTTTTGCAATATCGGATCCGGGTCAGGAAAACGGAGCATAGGAGGGGTATTTTGGTAAAAGAACAGAATTCCGCGTCGTTGCCATTAATGATTGTGACGGGACTCTCTCCCCTTTGTTCGGACCCAAATTCAAATCCTTTCTTCTATTTTTTTTGTCATATGCATTGTGTCACTCTCTTTAATGTCATATTAAATTCAAAAAAATCTTTCACCTATATCCTACTCTTAATTATATACAATAACACTTGAAAAATAGATATCATATATGCTAAGGATATTTTTTAAACATGTTTTTACTTATGTGAAACAATAAATTTTTTTATTTTTGTTCTTAATTTTTAATCTCTTTAAAATTAAAAAATTATTATTTTTAATTGTATTATCATGTAACACTTATTAATTGTTTATATAGTTAACATTAGGTGAACTAATCATCTTAAGTTACACCGACCACTAATGTCTAAAATTATAGTATAAAAAAATAAATGTTATTTATATGGCTAAAAACAAACATTAAGAATTAAAATTAGTAATTTAAGATTTTAAAGAATAAAAATATTTTACATAAATTACAATTAAATTTTTTTCATTTTATAAGAATAAAAAATAAAATCAGGATGATTTTATTTTATATAGATTAAAAACGTATTTTATTCTTATTTTTTTTTATGATAAAGGAGCAGCATGTGAAGAAAATTTGTAAGTAACTAATTAGAACCAACCCTAAAACATCATCATCACATTATAATACTAGAAGCTAAAACTGCTACCAGAAATGGTACAAGCCTCGTGGACAAAGAACCCTTCTTGAATATATCGAATGATTTGTTCTTAATTTTATAAAAAGTATGTTCAAAGCAAGAAATGCAAATCCACACAATAATGATTTGTTTGTAGATGTAATAAAGAATTTTTCTGTTTCACTAAGTAGTCCATTGGACATTTTTTAGTGATAAAGTTAACGAGTTTACAATATTTTTAGTTTCTCTACCTCTCAGCAAATTTAACAATTTGGTGACTCAAGATTATTTTTTTCTTTCCAAAACATGTTGGTAAGTTCAAATTTGAGACAGGAAATTAATGAAAAGACATTATTTAAGGATTAAACTTCAACTCGAACTCTTGATTTGGCCTTTCAAAATTTGTTGAAACATCAATTTAATTTTTAAAAGATTAATTATTGTTCTGGTTGTTTTTTCAAGCAAATGGCATTGTCACTAATCTCAATGCAAAATTGTATTTATAAGACACATTTTTTTCAAGCAACAATTCCCTGTCGTGACTCAAACAATGAATATAAATGTACATTTTATCAAATTAAGACTTTTTTGTCTAATAATTTTTTTTTCCAGAACCGTTATGTGAATAACAGTTAATTATTTTATAATGCATACGTAACCACTTATATTTTAACAAAAAAAATCTACATTTTCAATTTTTCTATAATAACATTCAATCATATTCTAACTTCATATAATTACTAGAATTAGTTTAGTGGTGAGGTGAAAAAAATTGAGATAATTAAAAATATAGAAATTTAGATTTAATATTCATTGTGATTATTTTTGTAATATTTTTTTATTTTTATATAAAAAATATATTCTAACTTCATATAATAAATTATTAGATCACAAAATATTATTATAATTAGTATTGATCATTCACATAAAAATTACACACTACTGGCTACTATTGTAATTTATTTTGAGTACTCTAGTATTTCATTATTTACAATGAACACAGTTATTTCAATCATGCACACAAAAATTAATAAAAACGTGTCAAGAAAATTTGACCGTTTTAACTAAACTAACTACATACAACCTTTTCAGATCTAAGCATCAAAGTATTTGAACAAACAAAAGCAATAAACTGACATTAAAAATAAATTTAAAATAAAAATTGAACTTTTTAGATTAATCTTGAAAATGATGGTAATATTTTTCTAAAACAAATAATAGAGAAAAAGGATGGTGTATTTTGAATGAGTTGTGAAATATTAATTTCATCAAATATTTAAATTTGAAATAAAATATTTATTTTGGGGGGTCATCGGTTTCACTCGGTTTCTCTCTGTATCTGAGTTTCTGCTTTGTTTGCATTCCATGTGCACCTTATTTCCTAACACTGCACCTTCTCTCTCTTCTCTCTCTCTCTTCCTCAAGGATTCACGGGTTGCTTCTTCTTTTTTGTGATCGGTGAGTTTCTGGGTTTCTCTCTGTTCTTCCACTGTACTTCATTTTCTCTTACTCATTCTATTATTTCTGTACTTCACTTTTGCTGCAATCACTTTGCGGTGTTAAGATTTGAGTTTTCACTAATATAGTTTTTTGCCCATATAAGCAAACAAGCTGGTGAAGTGATGGAAAGTTGACAAAAAGTATGTAAATTTGTTTTTTTATTTATTTATTATTTTTATCATGGAGAAAAGAAAAGAGGTTTTTGGAATCTGGGTTTGCTGGTAGGGTTTGTGTTTAATCATGAGTTTTTAGATTTATGTCATTTTAATTGCAGTGTAAATTGGTATGAGACCAATTGCCCAGAAAAATGCAGTCTCTTTCAGCTTTGAATTTTTGTTAATTCTTTATTTAATGAATGAGTAGACAGGGAATAGGATCCATGTTTAGGTTTATGTGATGAGCTAGCCTTTTTATTTTTTAGTATATATTCTTCAGGAGTATTTACCTGGAATGAAAAGTTATATTCCCTCGTTGCTTCTTAATGAAGCACTTCTGTCCATCAGAAACTGCACGGCCAGGACAAACACCAAAAAGAGCAACAAAGGGGAATATAAACATTATTTTTGCTTTTACTGGAATATATGTTAATTTTTCAGAGGTAAGAGAGCCACTTCACAATGACTTACTGTTGATGATTTGATGCAAGGAATTAGTACATCTGTTAGAATTGTATGCCTTGACAAAGCATGTAAAACATAAAGAATATTTACCTCAGCCTTATCTATCCATTCCTTCAAAATGCTTAATATGTGGTATAAATTTGAACCATATGTAATGAAGGGGAAGAAAGATATAGTGGGTAGAAAAAAGGAAACTGATGCTTTCAATCTACCTAGTGATATATTTTTGCACTTGATTCTTGAATCATGTGAAGCAAAAGAAGTAATATAATCTAGTTGTAAACTTAAAACACTTAGAATAGCTTGGCATGACTAATGTTTGATGCTATGTAGCAGGTAGAAATAAGAGTACCAAACTGGTATGCACTATAGACCAAAGTGAATTACTGCAAGCTCAATCCCTGTCATTCTCCTTCTTCTACTGGTGTGGGACAGAATAGTAAAAAAAAAGGTAAGGTAAGCTAGATAAGATGCATATATTTTTTGGGTTCTTTTTTGATTGTCAAGTAGCAACATGATGAACATTATCTAGTTTCCTTTCATTCAAACAGTGTTTAGTAGCTTCTTTGGTATTATTTTGAGATATTTACCTGAGCATTTGAATATTTTTATGGGATGAAATTTATCTGAAATGTACATGAGATATTCAATGGCCATTTTAACAATCTCTTTTTTATTTTATTTGCTGAGCACAGAGTTATGGCGCAGGATTTGTCTTAAAGGACGTAGGTTTACTCCATTTCTATATAAGCAATGGTTGCGGAATCATGGTTTCGCAGTCTGTGGAAGGCTCCTCGGAAGCATGATGCTAATTCCGAGAAGGTGGTCATTGAAGTATTAGCATTTGAAATAGCAAGCTTGATGTCCAAGCTAGTTAACTTATGGCAGTCTTTGAGTGATAAACAGATTGTTAGATTGAGGGAGGAAATCACAAATTCACTGGGCATAAGAAAGCTTGTCTCAGATGATGATAATTTCATTGAACGCTTGATCTGTTTGGAGATACTTGAGAATATGGCGCACGTGGCTGAGTCTGTGGCCAGGCTTGCTAAGAAATGCAGTGATCCGATTTTGAAAGGTGTTGAAAATGCATTTTATGAGTTTATCACTTCGGGTGTTGATTCATATGGGTGGGAATTCACTTCCAAGAAAATGGAAAAAAAGATTAAAAGGATGGAAAAGTTTATAGTGACTAATGCAAGTTTGTATCAAGAGATGGAAGTGCTTGCTGATCTTGAACAAACTTTTACAAGAATGAAGGCTAGTGGTGAGTCAGATGGTGTAACTTTAATGGAGTATCAGAAGAAGGTTGCATGGAAGAGGCAGGAGGTGAGGCACCTACAGGATATTTCTCTGTGGAACAGGACCTATGATTACACAATACATCTTTTAGCAAGATCTTTATTTACATTATTCTGCAAGATCAACCATGTGTTTGGAATTCAAGAGATGGTGGATGTTGGTGGAACCAATAACTCTGGTGTCTTGAATTCTGATTTCATTTATAGAAGTCAATCGGTTTCCACATTATTGCAGTCTTCATTCCACCCATCAGAGAATAATGTTGCCAGATTTTCTTCAGGACCACTTAACGCTATTACTGCTAGATCTGGTCCAATTGGTAGAACAACAAATAAAACAAGCATTTCTTATTCAGGTCCTCTCGGTGACTCATCCACAAAGTCGGGCCCCATTTTAGGGAAATATACAAACGTCAATTTTTACTCAGGTCCTCTTGGAAGGAAATCGAATCAATCAGTCCCAGTTACTGGAAGAAATAAAAAGAGCAAGATTTGGAGGTTTTATGGACACTCTTCTGCCATTAGTGGGAAGGCAACTCCCTCAAGACCGAGTAGACTGACTCAAGTAGGACCGTTCAAAGGATGTATGGCTTGGGACAGTTCCATATTCACTGACTGCCAGTCAAGTGCAAATGGTGTTCAATATGGAATTCACAATTCCAAAGATGTTAATTCTAACCCTCTTGGTCCTGGAAAAGTGGTTTATCATACTCAATCCGTTTTCAAACCTCTCTGCAAGCTATTAAATCCTCCACCTGAAACCCTGGGTGCTGCTGCTCTAGCATTGCACTATGCAAATGTTATCATTGTGATTGAGAAGCTAGCAGCTTCTTCACACTTGATTGGTCTGGATGCAAGAGATGACCTGTACAACATGTTACCGAGACGTGTGAGAGCTGCCCTTAAGGCAAAGTTAAAGCCATTTACCAAGACCATGGCTTCATCATCATCATCATCTATATATGACCCAACTCTAGCAGAAGAATGGAATGAAGCAATGTCAAGCATACTTGAATGGCTAGCACCACTTGCTCACAACATGATAAGATGGCAGTCTGAGAGAAGTTATGAGCAGCAGAGCTTTGTTTCCCGGACGAACGTGTTGCTGGTACAGACCCTTTACTTTGCAAATCTAGAAAAGACGGAAGAAGTAATCACTGAGCTTCTTGTGGGTCTGAATTATGTTTGGAAATATGGTAGAGAGCTCAATGCAAAAGCTCTGGCCGAGTGTGGCAGTTTTAGGGTTGACAATGAATATCCTAATCTGAATGGATAAATAATTTGTATCAAGGTTGTGGCCATTTCCTGCAGGAGTTCAGTTCCTTGCCACGGATGAGACTTCAGGAGCACTAATCATCAGTCTTGTAGAAGCAACAAATGTGAATCAAGTGGTAGCTGAAGTATGAGAGAAGTACCTATGTATTCATTATTGTGGAAATTTAGTATCAGAATGCGTACCTGGGGAGGAATTTTTTTAATCATTATCGTTAATTTTCTTTGATGAGTTCCAAGCTGCTAGAACTTGGATGGCTGGTCTCATCTTTGCAATGTTGGCCTTCTTTCCTCTTTGATGAGTTCCTACTTCCTACGTGATGTTTAGGGTGTGCATATTTATGAGCATTTATTACATATTAAATTGTATAGTTCTATCACGCAATGGTGAGTGTTATTTCGCTATATTTTCTGAATTCTCAGGCAAGATATTTGTCATACTATTGGTAGTACGTACCATAAAATCTACTTTTCTTTTTATGCTCAAATTCAAACTAGTGTTACTGTGTCTATATAGCTCATAGTACCGTGATAGAAGCTATCACAAACCCATCTGCGGAGAAATTGTCATCTCAAACCCATATTTCCACCGATTTATGGCAATTTTACATCTGGAGTCTATTTGGCAGGAAGAAAAGAAACAAGTGAGAAAGAGAAGAGAGAGGGAGAATGAATACAAATAAATCACAAATACAGAAAAAACGAGTGTTTAAGGAAGAAATAGGAAGGAGAGAAAAATATTTTAAAATGAATTTTTAAATTAAATAATTGATTGACTTAATTGATTAAATTAAAAAGGCAAATGATTGTTTTTTTTTTATGTAATCAGTTATATCAAGATTTTAATCAAATTAAATCACCAAATGAGGGAGATGATCAATTTTAATTGGTGTCATGCATGTTATTGTTGATTTTCCGATTTGAGTAGAAATAAAAAATGTGGATTTTACAAAAAAAAATTTATTTCTTTACTCACCTATTTCCAAGAAAATAAATAATCCAACATTTTTATTTCTTATCCCCTTATTTTTCCTCTCCCCAGTTTCTTTGTTGTTTGTCACACACCAAACGCGGCTTAGTGGTAATTTTCATTCCATCTGCAAATATTACTTATCTCTCCCATAGTTTACTACTTACTAGGGGGCTGGATAGTTCAGGGTCTAGTTCGTGTGAGGTCAATGATTGATATTGCTATTACATCACACGCAGTACAAGTCAAAGTGTCAGACATAAGCGGTGAAAGAAAATAAAGTTGCGAGGAAGAAGGTTTTGGCTAAGCTATTTAACACATTCTCTCAACCACTTCTAGAAGAGTAGGGCACATCTGAACAAGCACGGAACATGTTGCCCAACAAATCGGAAATTTTGATGATACTTTTGTTTTCTTCTGACTATAGCAAACAAGAAGATTCAAAGAATCGAATTTTTTACTGGAATAATATTTTTTTTAAAAAAAATTACAAGAATGATCACTGTGCAGGATTATTTACCGAGATAGAACCATTTACTGTTGGGAACCGAATTCTGAGCATCAAAATGTAATTTTTTTTGTTTTTTCAACTCAGAATTCGGTTCCCGGGGAACCGAATTCTAAGTTGGTTTTAATTTTTTTTTTTTTTTCGTGTCTGGGGCAAATGTGGGCTGATGTGGGAAGCGGAACGGCCCGTTCCAAAAGCAGAACGGGCCGTTCTGCTTAAAGAAACAGAGTGCAAATTCTGAATGTGAAACGGCCCGTTCTGCTTAAAGAATTTGCACTCTGTTTCTTTAAGCAGAACGGCCCGTTCTGCTTTTGGAACGGGCTGTTCCGCTTCCCACATCAACCCAAATTTGCCCCATACACGAAAAAAAAAAAAATTAAAACCAACTCAGAATTCGGTTTCCCGGAAACCGAATTCTGAGTTGAAAAAATAAAAAAAATTACATTTTGATGCTCAGAATTCGGTTCCCCGGGAACCGAATTCTGAGCTTGAACAGTAAATGGTTCTATCTTGGTAAATAATCCTGCACAGTGATCATTCTTGTAATTTTTTTTAAAAAAAATATTATTCCAGTAAAAAATTCTCAAAGAATCTTCTGTTCATTTGCAAACCCAAGATTAATTGGATGGGGCTTCACAAAAAAAGAAAAAAACATCAACATCAACATCAACAACACATTTTCATTCTGCCACTCATTTTCCCCCGAAATTGAAAAAATCTAATACCTAGTTAAGCCACATTCTGCATAATTAATTTTGTGGTGAGTTACATTTTGTAATTGATGGAAACAACTTATTCAATGTGAATTGAAGACACAGCTGATGTGATTTCATTGGTTCGTGGGTCAGCACTCTCTACACATACGCCACAAGGATCTTCTTTAACCAACAGGGCAAGGACATTAAGTGAACTCCATGTTTTTGTAACATTGCTGCTCGAATCTCCTAAAGTGACAGCAAAGACTGCATCAAATCCTCCAGCCCCTGGCACTCCAGCCAACAATACTCCTTCCAGGTTCATTGTAGCATCTAAAAGTTGCGTTTGTGATTCTGGTTCAATCTGTATACGTTGAAACTTATAAGGCTGCTGAAGTCATAAATTGTCAAATTTTTTAAATGATGAATCCATCTGAAAAATGAGTTTCTAATACCAAACCTCTGACAACACTTCAATGGAGATTATAAAAGCTTAGCATCAAGTAAATATAGCAATTATGCTTCATAAACAGAGTCTAAATCGTATATCTGATCCATTAAACATCTATCTTCTGATTGATTCAAGGGGTTCATAATTAACATGTTAGATAAAGCAATTCTATTTTAACTGATCCAGAGTTGTAGCACTCTAGAACTCTAAGAAGACATTGTCCCTACAGCCGGTTTATAGGCAGTAATAGTATATTATTATCACGAATCAACTATACCAAAAGCTTAAAATGTTAGATGATACATATAAATGATATTTCTTTTCTTTTTGAATTGGAGGGAGGTGGGGGGATTTGGGGCCTACTGCTTAAAACTAGAACCCACGAGGAAAAGAAACAAAACCAGAGTCAGCTAAAATGAACTAGCTAACAAGGCTTGAAGCGCGGACAGTGCACAATCCACCCACCTTGTGTTACAATTTAACTTATTTATTAAAAGAATGGATGTGCTAAGGATTGAAGACTAGATGGATGACTTGGTCATATAGGTTCTAGAACCATGCCATGAACCATCACAAGAGCTTAAGTTGTTAAGTGAAAATATATAGATGGTTTAATATTTACATATTTAACTCCCAGCAACAGGTTTATTGGTGGTAAATTGTACTTTATAAGCCAACAGGAGTAGTCACTTGGCAGTGCAAGAAGCCTTGATATGAAACTTCTTTCAGTTTATTAACAGCGTATTACGGCAATGCATGCTATCATTTTATTTTACCATGCACATTGTACAGATACCAAATCCAAGACACTAACCTAATTTACCTCTTTATATGGAATGTGCAGAGATAGCAAGTTCAAACTTGGCTTCACTGTCATTCTTATTTCATAGGAATATAAGAGATGTAGTATCGCAAGAGGTGTTAATATAAAGCAAAATCACTAAATTTCAAACAAAAAACGTTCAAGGGTCATGTACATTCCGTCAAGCATATCTTGTATAATCAAAATCAACATCATATGAACAGAGAAACATAAAAATAAGTGTCCAATTAGTGAAATGAACTTACTGGAACACCTGCAGCTTCACCCATCAGGCGCATATGATATCTAATCCCCAGCATTGCATCTTTTACACCTAGCAGTGCTTTAATAACTGCTTCCTTGCTAGGTTCAGAAGCTTGCTCTATCCACTGATCAAGCAATTTTAATTTTTAAGTTCAAAGATCAACATGAAAGAAGAAATGTCACAACATATGAAAAATTCCTAAAACTTGACATAAAAAAAATAAAGTCGCAAGAAAATCACATCACAAATGAACTTGTGAAGTTTTCAACCAAAAACTGAAATCCAGGCTGCAATGACTATAGAACTTCATATTAAGTTACATGAATCATAGCATTATCCTGCACGGATGCATCCTGATAATCACAATATTAAATTTAATTTCTGGACATGAAAAACAAGGTAGGAGTAATCTATTTTATGAAATTGCTCATACTCCATTATTTAAGTGTTCGCAAACTGACCATTAAAGTTGGGCCACAGAAATCTTACCATTCCATAATTATGATATTTCAGTTCACTGTGAGCTAAGAGGTATATAATTCTGAGGAAATAAGGTCATATCAAGTAGGAAGGATATCAAGTGATACAATAAGGATGTTAAATATTTCTAGTTAGTTCCAACTTTACATCTGGCCATAATCAGACTCAGGAAACCTATAAAGAGTATGGCTGTTGCCTGCAAATAAGTTTCTATATTTCTCTCCAGGGTAGCTCTAGACAGAGAAACAGTTGAATGTAATCTCTTCCAAAACCATTCAAGTAACATGCGTATAAGTATATTCAATAAAGATGTACTACTTCAAGAAAAACTGTCAAAAAGAAGAGTGAAAGGCTAATCCAATGCAAAGAATGCCACAGGGACACACCAAGATCATGTTATTTGAACCTAACAGAGGAATATCAATCAAATTACTTCAGTTGCATATGTATAAATATTCTGATTTAAAATTACTTCCATTTAATAAAAATCAATGAATCATCTAAACTCAAAGAAATACCTTGTCTGATCTGAGCATGCTGCAGCAGTAAATCACAGATTTATATGCATTCCATTGTTCTTTTGCTAATTTGCTTAACAATTTTAGTTGCATTTCCAATGCTGAATTCGCCTCTGACAATCTTTTCCATGTGTCCAGGGATTTCTGAGGGTCAGACTTCTGCCATTTTTTGACAGCACCAACCATTGATGGTGTGGATGATCCACCAGTACCAGGTTCTCCTAGTAACTGAAAAGAAAAAGATATCAATCAGCCTTGGAACCAAGAGAATTCATATGTGATAGAATCTGGATTAAACACACTCAGATTTAGTAAAACCCTCTGTATTGTTCGTCTGCAGATACTGATATCACTATGCTACCAGTACCCAGTGGATTTACAATTAAAGGTAAATACTGAAATAGAAAGAAATAACACAGGGTATCCAAGAGACCCTGCAATCTCCCAAACAGATCTCAATATGCAGGTGAGGACATTAAAAAGTTGCCTAAATATTCAGTATAGCTAGGTTCAATGAATCAAAGGAGGTTGTGGTATCTTAACTGTTCATTCGTAAATTGTGTTGGCATTAATTATCTTTGTAATACTCTTGAATATAAATAAATCCATTCTGCTCGGACTGTACTGGTTGGACAAAGGAAATGTCTTTCCAATACTCTAAGTAGTGGACATCTCTGTAATTATCTAAATGTGGATTGCAGAGATGAAAAGAAAATCATGGAACAAAAAAATTGAAATTCTGAAAAGCCTAGAGGAATGCAAAAAAGACAAGACTCTATCTAAAAAGTAGGACATTATTTGTTTTTTATTTACTATTAAAAGAAGGTTTTGAATAGAAACCAAACATATAAAAAGAGTTAGGAATTAGGTACATCCCACCACCACCACCCTTTCAACCAAAAGGGAGATGATATTGGGAGAAGGGAGGTGGGCATGGAGTAAGTGCCCACACCCATATTTTTAAGGTATACCAAGTAGCAAAATATGCAAAAATTTAGGTTGCTTACAAGAGTCATCAAAGGTGGTAAAGAGAACTCAGTCGTGTCATGGTCCCATTTTCCTTTTAGAATTTCAGGGATAACATCTGGTAAAGGCACTGATTTATCTGCAACCTACAATGTCAATAAAACGAAGACAATGAAGTTATTAATGTTCCCAGAACATTGCTACTAATTCCAAAACAAAATTTGGTTAATGTAAGAAATAACTAACAGAAGAACATTGATTGCAATGCACAGTGGTGGCTACATAATATATGAAAATATTTGTCATGAGCATTTCAAGAATTCACAGATAATAGTTGTCAATAATCTCAAAATGGAAGCCAAATATGTGTTAAACAAACCACGGATGGTGCGATATGTCAGTTCCATAACACTTGCATTGTTAGATTAATGCACATCTCTCACTATATATATATATATATATATATATATAGAGAGAGAGAGAGAGAGAGAGAGAGATCTACTTACTCCATTTAATATCTTTTCAAAGACATTAAATTTCATCAATTAAATGCCAAATTGAAAGCTTTCATCAAGTAAATCAATTGTACAAAAATTTTTAAAATTTAAAAAAATATTAGATACTTCATCAAATGACTTCAATTTAATGCATAATATACTTCTTAAAATACAAGTAAATGTCAACTATAAGATTACATATTTATGAATGTACAATTAATTTAACATTTGATGCACGTGATCATTGTAATAATATGACAAGATTGATGAAATTTAATGTCTATGAAAAGATATTAAGAGTAATATCACGAGTTACTCTTGAACCAAACAAAGTATGTATGAATAGTACATATATAAAATAACAAACTTGTATAAACAAGAATCAGTGTTGCTCAATTCACAAAGAATATGAGAGGGAGGGGGACCTGAGTGGAAGAAATCACTTCTGGCGAAAACCGCACGTAGCGCTGACTTCCATACACAGCTGAACTGACATCAAACCCACTGCCTACTTTCCCTTGTGCAATACAGTGTGCTGTTTGAGCTATTTTATGTACCAAATCAAGATCTGCAACATCCCTCCTTTCCTGATGATCTTTCGAAGAGGAAAGTTTTACAACATCCAGGTAATGAAGTAAGGCAGCAACTACAGCTGTTGTCATTGCAGCAGATGAGCCTAAACCAGTTTTAGCCACTTCGGGCTTGCAATCTCCTCCATCGGCATCACCAGTATTGAAGGTAATGGAGGAAAAAGGTGGAAGGCTAGCCAACGATTCTGGCGTCAAGGGGAGTCCTCGTCTCTCAATCTGCAGAAACATTTATTAAGACACAGAGCTTGGTCTAAGGTTTATTTGGATAAACTTCTCTATAAACGCTTCTAAAAGAAAAATAAAATAGGAAGGAAAATCAAAATAAGTTTTTGCATAAGCTAAAATTAGCTTATACATAAAAGAAATTGATAGAAGAGAACTTCTATAAATTAGTTAATGCATAAGATAATTTTAGCTTATGTTTCATTTTCCTTCTTATTTTTTTCTTCTATAAGTGCTTTTAGAGAAGTTTATTCAACAGACTCCTAAACTTTTAAATACGCAAACCATCAATTTTAAGGGGGGAAAAAAGGCTGATGCGGGAATAGGCAATACATAGAAAGCATATAGAACAAAACAAAGGAGAAATTACCTCATTCCTATACGAATAAAAATCATTGCTACCCAAAATAGTAATGTCAAGACCTACAAGATCAAACGAGTTACGAAATTGGACGTTTAAACCCGTTTTTAGTCTATAAAAACGGTGGAGAAGGGTAATCTCACCTTGTAAAAGCAGTTTGTGCAAGAGCTCCCTTTTATTGTGGTCAAAGGTGGCATAAGCCGCAGCGACGGAATACTGCACCGCGTACTCGACAAAAGGATTCCTCGAATCACTGAAATAACAAACCAATCAATCACAGTAATAATGACATGAAATAACTAATTTAACGGTGAAAGCGTGCCTCGGGGAAACGGTTTGGATGGTGAGGGTTTTGAGCGCGAGTTTGTAGAGCGCTTCTCTGGAGAGCTGAGGAGAGGTTAATCGCACATCCGTCCACGCCTGAAGGAGAATTAATAAGAGCAGTGAGTAAAGGATAAAGGAAGAGTGTGAGGAGAAGGAGAAGGAGAAGAAGAAGAAACGCACCCATGCCCAAGAATCGGATTTGATTTGGTGATGGATGGGTTTGACGATGGCGTAGAAGCGAGCGTTGGTGCTGAGGACAAGTCCTGCGTTGGGTCTCTCCAGAATGAGGTAACCCCCTGTCATCAACACTTTCCCAGGAGCAGAGGCAACAACCCTGTCAAACTGGAATTCAGTTGGGAAGCGCAATTTCAATATTGATAATGTGAGGGAGTTAGTTAGTAATTGACTTACACGGCCATGGCTGATGCGATCACCACTCACTATTCTGATTTCAGTTTCAGAGCGGAGAAGGAGAACAACAAATGGACCTCGCGTTGCACGTGGCGGGTGTTTTTTTATTTCGTTAAGAAAGGGACACTGCTTCTCTTCTCTTGTCAACTTCTTCTATTCAATTGGGTTGGGCTCTTTGGATTTATATTTTATAACACTACTCAAAAATTCTTTCTCTGCTACACTCAATCGGGCCGTCACACTCAAGTTTTAATTTACTGCAAACTTAAAATTAAACCACGAAATCAATACACACAGAATCTATCAATAATCTATCTAGACTTGGTGAAAACCTAAATTTTAGGATAGGATAAGATCTAATAGATTCAATTATATTAAATTGAGAATTTAACTGTTATTAAATACTATATACAGTTCACTTTTGTAATGCTATTTGTACAAAAAACAAAAACTTTTTGTAATACAATAATGCAATTAATATTTGCATTTTTTTTTGTCCATGAGAGTTACATGACCACAACATGATTCAAATTTGAGATTATGTTATACTACTCTAACTCTCACTATTTGGTCATTTCTAGTAGTTTATTAATATTTGCATTTGATTGATTATGAACATCTTTAGAGTCACCAAATGAAACGATTATTTTACCCAAAAAAAAAAACAATTTGTTGTATATTTTATTGATATTTCAAAAGGTTAATATTTTTGTTTAATTAATTTAAAAAATTGTTTTAAAACTAATTTAAAGTTTATTTAAAAATTAGATATTTTGTTATATTTACTCGATTTTTTTTTATTTGATCTCAACTCATGATTTAATGGAATGAGGGAGTTTTATAACTCCTATTTTTCCTTTATCATTCTCTTTTTTTTTTTCCTTTTTATTTGAGTTAGTGGGTATATATTAAAAAGAATCTTGCAAGTTATGATACCTCATCCATTGTTTAGAATGATTGAGAATATGTGTCATATCTGAAGGACTTGTATGTCACGAAAATAAGTCCTCAACGACAGTGTCACCATAAGTCTGAACTAGTTTTATTTGTTATACTCAATGGCAAATAGGAAAAATAATATTTACATTACTAGCTGTAAGATATGTTTCACATAACAATGTAGGAGAACGTAATAACTGATGAATCATTTGCGTCTAGAAAGTTTATTGTCTCTAGATGTGGTTTGACCCCCGAAAAAGAGTTATCATATTTACTAGAAGGACTGGTGCATAAATTTGGGAGATAGAAAGTTGAAGCATTATGGTGATGATCTAGCACGCGGTTGTGGTAACTTTGAGGGAGAAGTTCGGCAAATAGGGCAGGACGCGTTCAGTGGAAGCCATTCATCAATGCATTGTGCATGAAAACAGTGTCCACATTCAGGTATGGTTTTCACTGTCTCTTTGGGCATGTACTCTGAGAGGCATATTGAGCAAGTTTTGTCACCCTTCTTGGGTAAGCGTCTGTTCTCACCTATAACTATTTTTGGGTAGGATTCAATTGTGGGCCTGTCCAGGCCAGCTACCGTGGCGGGCGGTGAGCCTGCTAGAGCCTCAAAATCTGCCACCGTTTCATAAGCCCAAGGCCCATTACGGATCCTGACTCTGAACCAGCTGCAGATGCAACGCAGTACTGCAATGGAGCACAACAAAGCCGGTACCCCTATGCATATGGCTATGGCATAACGTGCACCACGGGAAATCCCTGCCATTCTTGAAAATTCATGGTTAATTCTTCTATATCATGTCCAGTTGCATTATCTAATTTCTCAATTCTTAATTTTCGAGATAATAAATATATGCCTTATTAAATACTAGTTTCTTGTGTTCTAAGGACACGCACTGATAAAACTTTTAATAGTGTAAGCCCAAGTAATGTTATGGATGTTTTTTCAAAAAAAACAACATTCCTTTTAAAAATATGTTCAATCACAACTCTAAACTCATAGCAAAATTACACATCATTTACTAATACATCTCTTATATTCAAAATCGCACATCTTGTTTGAATGAAAAATTGCCGGTGCTAAAAATTCAAAAACTACAAGAAAATGCAAGTCCAAGTTTTCACTTTCGTAAGATAGAAGCAATAAAATGAAAAAAAAATGTTACATCAGGTGACCCCTACATAAGTATTTTCTAATCTCCCCCAAATCCCTTCTTCTGTTTAAATAAACTTGAAACAGTTTTTTTTTCCCCCGTTTTCTGTTGATTCACATTTCTATATATTCACAGAAAGAATGTTACTTTCGCAGTAGGCACATAATTTAGAAATAGATATATTTTTATTCACCTAGTTGACTTCGCCAGGTTATACACAACCACAAGTTATATACACGGCCAGCCACGTTTACCTATTTTAATCTTCTTAACATTACGTTAGAATAAGTCCAAAACAATTTTAATAAACCGCTTAACGTTCTTTTCTATAACTATTAATAATTTAATCTTCTTAATATTATGTTAGAAAATAAGTCCAAAACAATTTTAATAAACATCTTAACATTCTTGTCTATAACTATTAATAAAAGTGAGAGATTTTTTTTAAGTAAAAAAGAAAGTATTTCATAATGTAAACACCTATTTAACATTTTTAATTTCTCTCTTTTTAAAATCATATGATTTGTTATTTATATCTTTCTTTAAGCATAAATGAGAACATTTATCAAATACTTTTAATATTAAAAAAAAAAAAATAATACCGGAGACTATTTAGCATGATTTATAGTACTTAAAATATTATTAATTTCAGAGATTATTTAGGAAAAATAAAAAAGAATTTAAAGGATTATCATTCCATTTTGGAAATGGTGCGGTAGGTGGTAGTAGTACCTTGTGAAGGGAGAGGGTAACAGTCAAGCTCAACAGTGTCATTACCCTTGAAGCCGCACCGGCCACCGTGGGACTCGCACCTGCCGCACGCCGGCGAGTCCCACGACAGGCGCAGGTCGTCGCTGAGCTCAGACGAGAGCACCCGGTCATAAAACGGCAACTGAACGGGGACGTTGACGGCTCCAACCAAAACGCAGAGCGACGACAAGTGCACAACAACGGTGGGAGAAGGAGTGGCGAAAACGGCGTAGGTGGGAGCGTGGCTGAGGCAACGTATGGCGATGTATCGGCGCTGGAGGTAGTCCAAGTTGGAGGAGCAGTTGAAGAAGGTGAAGCGGTGGTGGTAAACGGCGTGGAAGGGGGAGGCGGAGAGGTTGAGAGAGAGGAGGCGTTTGGGGAGGCAGTTGTTGGGGTCGTTCAGCCATAGTTGCTGCGCGGCGTAGTTTATTCTCTGGATTTTGAGTTGGCCGCAATTGGGGAGGTTGAGCAGTGTTTGGTTGTTCTGGCTGCATGATACTTGGAAGCCTGGGTATCCGCATGATTCTTCTGTGTGGAAGGGGAATCGGATGAGGACGTGGCAAACGGTGTCCACGCATGTTTCTAGGGTTAAGGGAGGGTTGAGGAGGATGAAATTGAAGAGCGTGAGTATGGGATTGGGGATTTTCATGTTTGGGGAAGGGGGAGTCTTCACTCTTCACTTTGATCTTCTCACCAATCTCACCTAATCCCAATGCTCGTGGCACTCGAGCTCAACTGTTACTATATTTTTTTATATCTTATCTTGCTTCATACAACACTATATAACGGAATTTAATGAGAGAATTTATTATTATTATTATTCAATACTCAATTGACAAACTTACGACCTACTTCAAGCTCTTATTACCGACTTTAGTAATTAACATAATAGGGTCTTCATTTATGTTGGAGAGAAAAAAGTTACTAAAAATACATGATAGCTTCTTGGTCCAAGATAAAGGAAAATAGAAGTTGTTTAATGAAAGAAAAATGTATTAAAAATTAATTTTCTGAAGTTATATGATTTTAAAAAGAAAAATTAAGATTATATATCCGTAATATAATAAATTTAAATATATTTTTAGTTCTTTTATATCGTTGATGTTATGTGAAAATAAGATAAATTATTCAAATATAAAAAATATAATTGAATCTATTTTTTAATTTCAATAACAATACTTAACGGTAGTTGACATCGAAAAACTTTTTCAGAATTTGTATGAAAATTGGCTTTCATATTTTTATAGTGATAATGGTTGATGGATAATAGAAAAGTTTAATTATCCGTTTAACTGTTTGACTTACAATTAGTTTGGGAGTTACATTATTTGAATGTTTTGTGTTTTAGTGACTCTTCTTACAGGTTATACTTAGTGTAGAATTAGTGTAGGAATACACATAAATACAATATTATTATTCAAAATATTCAAGATTTGTTAAATAGAGATTGAAATATAAGATTGCCACATATTTTATATGAGGATAATAAATGTGTTATTGTAAAAAAAATTGTATCTTATGTTCAAATAAAGAAATTATTATAAATAAATAAATATAATCACATAAAATTAAAAATGCATATATATTGTGCATAATATATATTCAACAAAAATAAATTACAAACTTACAACAAAATCAAATAAAAATTAGTTCACTTAAAATAAAATCAAAAATCAAATTACAAACTTACAAATTACTAATAATCTAAATTTTCTAATAATTTACAAATGAAGCTTAATTATTTATGCGGGCTAGTGAAGTCCAATTATTTATGTGAGTTGGTAGATTGTGATGGACTAGACTGCCATTTGGTCTAGTAGGTTGGCGGATTTCGCAAGGCGAACTTGACAAGTTGACGGGTTGAAATGATGAGCCAGCTTGTAGACCACAATCCATTTTGTCACCCCTACATGAGAGTAAGTAGGGTTTCTAAGATTGTAATTTCTCATTTATTTTGTTGTTTTTATTCATCTTTAAGTTACAAAAAAAAAATACTTAACTATTAATACAATATTTTTCTAATTATATGAAACTGATAATGAACTCCTTTCTTTTAAAAAGTTTATAAAAATAATTATTATTTATTAGATTTAAATATATTTCTGATCTCTTAAGTGTTATAATTGTGCAATTTTGATTCTTTAAATTTTAGTTAAGCAATTTTGGTCTCTCAAATTTTAATTGAACAATTTTAGTCTCACAAATATCACCATTGTATGATTTTAACAACTTAAGCATCATAATTATGCAACATTTTTACTTATTTAAGTTATACATTATTATTTTTTGTAATAATAAATATCATCTAATACAATGAAAATTATAGTACGTAAAACTTAAATAGGTCAAGAATTATATAATTATTATTTAATTAAAATTTGGGAATTAAAATCATCCAATTATAATACTTGGGATTAAAATTGTTAATTAAAATTTTAGAGACCAAAACCTCACAATTACAATACTTAAAAGAATAAAAAAACTCAACTAAATCTATTTTTAAAAGAGTTAATCACCTATACATTTTTTTACATTGACAACTAATCATATCTTTTAATAGTGTCATATCAGTTATTTATTTAATAAAATAATAATAAAATAAATAATTTTAAAAGATATAATTGATTGCCAGTGTAAAAAATTTTACGCTGGCAGTATATGGATGATTAACTCTTTTTTAAATTGTTTTTATTGAATTTTAGAGATGTTTGGATGAATTTTTCTTAATAATAAAGTGAGGGAAAAAACTACAATTTTTTTTAAAGACTAAACAAACAACCCCATATATATATATAATATTAAAAAATATTATTAGTATATTATAACTATTATTTTTTATAAACACCGCAGCTGGTGTAGTTGGTGTACATGTTTCCTAATTGATAGGTAGTAATAGAAAGAGCTAAAGAGAGTTGAAACATCCAATTTATTTAACTTTCAAGTGTATCCAAATTCAGAGTCTCTAATTTCAATTCTATTCATACCAAACAAATAAATCGATATTTGAAACCTCCTCCCAGGAGAACACTGTAACCAGCATTTGGCTGTGGAAAAGTCAGTCAGATGAGGAGCTCACATATTCTAGAACATCAATACTCACTCAAAGCGATTTAAATTGGAAACAATAATCTTAAATCATTAATCATGAAACTGTACATTTCATTCCACATAAGACCATAATTAACTAAGAACTAACCTTCCCTGTTTCCAACACGAAGCTTCTGCATAAAAGCTATAAACATTTATAATTTCCTATGCTCTAACCTTGTACCCTTATGCACTATACGGCAAAACAAACATCTTGCTTTGCGTATACTAAATCTCCTTTCTTTATTATTTCCCCGCTTAAATGTATATGGCGCACCAACTCCCAATCAATAATGTTCAATGAATCTCTAGCACAACCTTGAAGCCATATTTTCTTTTATTTATTCTACCTAGTAACTAGTGCTGTAAGAAACGAAGAATCAAAGAAGGCTCCGAAGTCATCATTGTTTGTTTGCCACTGCCACGGTGCCCCTCTTGGTTAGGTCCTGCTGCTTCTTGATAAGTTCATCTGGATTCCCAGCAATACCGTGCTCTATATCTTCATTTGTGAGGTAACTGTCAACTTGTGCTGCAGCTTGTCGTCCCTCTGAAATTGCCCATACCACCAGGGACTGACCGCGTCGACAATCTCCAGCTGCAAACACCCCTCTAACACTCGTTGAAAAGCGACCATACTCTGCCTTCAAGTTTGACCTATTGTCTCGCTCTATGCCCAACTTCTCTGCAATTGTCTGCAAAACCAAGAGCAGAAAAATCAACGATTAGCAACTTCCTAATGTAATGGACATCATTTGGGATAAGAGATGAAGCTATTATGAATACTTACAGACTCAGGGCCAAGGAATCCCATGGCCAGTAAAGCTAGGTCAGCCTCAATAATCTCCTCAGAACCTTCGATTTCCTTAAATTGAAACTTCCCAGTTTCATCCTTCTCCCAGCGAACACGTACCACTTCAAGTCCCTTCAAAACTCCATTTTCATCTCCCACAAACCGCTTAGTCAATACCTCATAAGATCTTGGATCTTTCCCAAATTTAGCTGCTCCTTCTTGGTGCCCATAATCTACACGGTAAATGCGAGGCCACTGTATTCCAGAAACATTTAGTAGTTAAAAACTGCAAAAGTCACGTGGACAATGAAAAAGCTTGACACTTAGTCATTCCTTTTCAATTTTGCTTAAGGGGAAGTTTTTCAATTAATGTACATGGAGGGCTTCAAGAGCAGCACCATTAGCCATCATTGAATTTTAAAAATCTAATTTTTAGTATATAGTCCCAGTAATGGGCCTAATGGCTGGTGAAATGTCCAATTTCTCAAGCTGTCTATGTCGACAAATGGGCTGAACGAATAAAGACAACTAGTATTTCAGAAATCAATGGATCTAACCTGTGGCCAAGGATTGCCAGGAGCCCTAGTTTGTGGTGGCTGAGGGAGAAGTTCCAAATTTACAATGCTAGTACACCCATGCCGAATGGATGTCCCTATGCAATCTGTGCCCGTGTCACCCCCACCAATGACCACAACTTTCTTTCCCTTGGCAGAAATGAAGTTACCATCCTCGAGATTGCTATCAAGCAAGCTTTTAGTGTTTGCATGAAGAAACTCCATAGCAAAATGAACTCCTGATAGCTCCCGCCCAGGTACCGGGAGATCCCTGCATTGAAAGTAAAACTTCCTTTGAAGCATCTCTCAACAACAATTCCCTCTTCTGATATACATCCATTCCAACCAAAAATTGAACTAAATGCAAACAACAGTAGTATACAGGACTCCTGCACTATGACTCACCTTGGTTTTGTGGCTCCTACAGCCAAGACAATGGCATCATTTTCCTCTCGAAGCCTATCAAGAGAGTATAAAGCATCATGCCCGATATTAGCATTCACCACAAAGTTAATTCCCTCCTCTGCCATAAGGTTGACCCGCCGTTGAACTATATCCACTTTGTCAGCTTTCATGTTGGGAACCCCATACATCATGAGCCCTCCAATCCTATCAGCTCTTTCGTATACAGTTACTGTATGGCCCATTTTATTCAGTTGATCAGCAGCTGCCAAGCCAGCTGGTCCACTTCCAACAACGGCCACTCTTTTCCTGTATAAATGGAGATATTAACTAATGGCACTATATATCTTAGTGATAATTGCAACAAAATTAATAGACCAGTTTAATAATAACTACCACAAAGCCAAACAGTTTAATTACTGAAAGTTACTAAACACCAACTCGTGGATTTATACCTATTTGATTGAAAAGCAACATCAGAAAAAACGGAAATGAAACTCAAGAGATGTCAAGTACGGGGGAAAATTGCATACCCAGTTCTCCTAGCTGGAGGTCGTGGCACCATCCAACCCTCCTCAAAAGCTTTGTCTATAATAGCACATTCTATGCTTTTAATAGATACTGGATTCTCAATAATACCAAGGACACAAGAACCTTCACAAGGTGCTGGGCATACCCTACCAGTAAACTCTGGGAAGTTATTTGTCTCAAGAAGCCTCTCTAATGCTTCACGCCACCTATTTTGGTACACTAACTCATTAAATTCTGGTATTTTATTTCCAAGAGGACACCCAGAATTTTCCTGCAAATTTATTTAAATATATTAAGTCTAAACAAGGGTCCAAATAACTAGAGAGTGAAAACTGGGATTTATAGAAGTGGCAATGCCCACCTGATGACAGAAAGGAGTACCACAGTCCATGCAACGGGCTGATTGTGTTTTCAAAAGTGGGCCAGGCTTTGTTTCCATCATCACTTCTTTCCAATCATTTATTCGAGCATTGGGATCCCTGTACTGGACACCTTCCCGCTCATAAGCAACAAAACCTCCATGTTTAACAGGATCACTTACTTGACTAGGCCTCTTGGATGCTTCATCCTGTTCAGCACATATTCAAAGACATCAGCTTACTAAAAATGAAAGAAGTAATCTAAGGATTGATGGCGTACAAGTAAATCACCCATTCATAGTCAAGCAATAAGAAAGTCAAATATACCACTCTTGGATCAAGAAAGAAAGTCTTATCATAATATTATCTACTACATGTCTACATCCAGCAGAATATTAAAGATGGACTAATGATAAGTTTTACTACAAAAGTTGGACTAAAATTTAAAATTCATAAGTTATTAATGAATGCAAGCATTCTAAGAATCGGTGTAAGTGGATCCCACTATATTAAGAAAGGTTACAATTACCTGACTAGGCTTCCCATTCAACGATGCAGTAGCTACTTTCTTGAGCTCTTCAAAAGCATCTTTCTCCACCAATTCTATTTCATCTTGCCCCTCTCGATGTTTAGAAGCAGGCTCTGCTGCATTTTTGGTGGCTTCCTTCAATTTCATAGTTGCCAAAACTTGTTTATACTCCTTAGGGAAAACCTTGATAAATTTTGGAAGGAGATTCTCAAAGTTAGCGAGCACTTCTTTGGCAAGCCCACTATTTGTGTGGCGCTGATGTTGTTGTATCAACATTCTAAGAGTACTAATATCCTCTTCCTCTTCAATCTTATCCAGATCTACAAGCTCACTGTTGCACCGAGATAGGAATTTTCCATCCATGTCAAGAACATAAGCAATCCCACCACTCATACCTGCAGCAAAATTTCTGCCTGTGTTTCCAAGCACAACAACTATCCCACCGGTCATGTACTCACATCCATGATCGCCAACACCTTCCACTACTGCCTTAGCCCCAGAATTACGCACGCAGAATCTTTCAGCTGCCATCCCATTGAAATATGCCTCACCAGTTGTGGCCCCATATAGAGCCACATTACCAATTACAATATTCTTCTCAGGGTCAAAGGTACTTACCTTTGGAGGATATACTACAATCTTGCCACCTGACAATCCTTTACCAACATAGTCATTGCCATCGCCTTCAAGTTCCAAAGTGATGCCAGGACAGAGGAATGCGCCAAAGCTCTGACCTGCACTGCCCTTAAATCTGATATGAATAGTGTCAGTTGGAAGACCCTTTAAGTGGTACCTTTTAGTCACCTCATGGCTTAGCATTGTTCCCACAGCACGGTTTACATTATAGATTGGACTTTCTATGTATACCTGGAGACCCTTTTCCAAAGCAGCTCTGGACAGACTTATAAGCTTATTATCCAAGGCCATGTCCAAACCATGATCTTGTTTTTGAATACAGTACTGAGCAGCTTCTGGCCGCAGTTCAGCTGCAGGTCTAAGCAATAAAGAGAGGTTAATGTTCTCTAGTTTCTCATTGCTTTTAACAACTTCTTTATCAACTTCGAGCATATCTGAACGGCCAACCATCTCATTGACAGTCCGAAACCCAAGCTGGGACATAATTTCTCTCATTTCTTCTGCTATCATGAAAAAGAAGTTAATGACATGCTCAGGTTCTCCAGCAAACTTCTCTCTAAGTACTGGATCTTGGGTGGCAATGCCAACAGGGCAGGTATTCTTGTGGCACTTGCGCATCATGATGCAACCAAGTGTAATGAGTGGAGCTGTACTGAAACCAAATTCTTCTGCACCAAGAAGAGCGGCTATGGCCACATCTCTTCCTGTTTTAAGTTGCCCGTCAGTTTGGACAACTGTGCGACCCCTAAGGTCATTAGCAACCAAAGTTTGATGGGTCTCCGCCAAGCCAAGTTCCCAAGGGAGACCAGCATTCTTTATGCCAGTCCATCTGGATGCCCCTGTACCTCCATCATGGCCAGAGATCAAGACATGATCAGCATGGCCTTTAACAACTCCACTGGCAACTACACCAACTCCAGCTTCAGATACCAACTTCACACTAATTCGAGCAGCAGGGTTGGCATTCTACATGTTAAGAAAAAAAGGATTAAGGAGGATAAACACCTAAGACGATGAAATCCGACCAAAAGCATCGAACGCAAAAGGATTGAATCTAGATCTGAACATACCTTTAGATCATGAATTAATTGGGCAAGATCTTCAATGGAGTAAATATCATGATGAGGAGGTGGGCTGATAAGTCCTACACCAGGAGTTGAATTCCTTGTGACAGCAATGTCTCCTATAACCTTGTGGCCAGGAAGTTCACCACCCTCACCAGGTTTTGCGCCCTGAGGAAAACGTAAGTTAAAATAATACCAATCTAGTATTCTACATTCAATGAAAAAATTCAATCTTCCCAAAGGTCAAATGTAGAAATCGATTATATAAACAAGAGAACTCAGAGGTGCCTTTTAAGCCTCAGAATCATCTTCCCGTAGAACCTCAAGTCCATGAATGTAGGGGCTAGAGACCATTTGATGATTTTCTTTAGAGTATAAGGAACTGAAACAATAACCTCAAATCCAAATGTCATGATTTTTGACAATTACCTGGGCCATCTTTATCTGCAATTCATCGGCATTTGTCAGATAGTAACTTGAAACTCCAAATCTCCCGCTAGCTACCTGCTTGATAGCACTCCTTTTCGGGTTCCTTGAGCCATCAGGAAGAGGCTCCATACGAGATGGCTGCTCACCTCCCTCACCTATGGAAAGAAATAATATATATATAATAAGAACAACAACAACAACACCAACAACAACAAAAAATTGAGGAGACCAATCTAGAATAATTAAATTATGAGAAAAGAGAGACGGTTTTCAAGTACTATTTGTCCCGAAAAGCATTTTCATAAACACGCACGCACACACTTGCACTTGGAAACAAACTTGACATTTTTTTTCCAATAACAATATGCAGCCATATTTTCTTTCAAAACAAACCTGTGTTGGATTTCCCTCCAATCTTATTCATAGCAGTTGCCAATGCAGTGTGTGCCTCCAATGATATTGACCCATAACTCATGGCTCCAGTGCAAAACCGTTTAACTATCTCACTAGCAGGCTCTACTTCATCAAGAGGAACTTTCACTGCTGCCTCTTTAAATTTCAGAAGTCCCCGCAAATTGCAAGCTTTATTTAACTCATGAATGAGCTTAGAGTACTGTTTATATGCATCTATGCTGTTAGTTCTGGCAGCCTCCTGAAGCTTTGATATGGCAAGTGGATCATTCAGGTGAATTTCACCACCTTTTCTCCAATGATAATCCCCAGGATTTGGCAATGCTATTGCTTCAGCACTTCCAGGAGAGAAAACCCGAGAAGGAAATGCTAACTCGTGCGATTGAAGAGCGACACGAGCAAGCATCTCAAATGTTGCACCCTCAACTCGACTCGGGGTTCCAGCAAAGCACCTTTCAATAACTTCTGAAGAAAGACCCAGAGCTTCAAAAATCTGAGCACCTTTGTAAGAGGCCAAAGTAGATATTCCCATCTTCGCAAGCACCTTCATCATTCCATAGATGCTTGCTTTGAAATACTTCTTAACCAACTCATCTTTTGAGTATAATTCACCACTTGCTTTTGGTGGTATCTTTCCATCAACCTGTAATCGCCAAATTGCCTCTACAGCCAAATATGGACATACAGCATCAGCACCGAAGCCAACAAGTGTGCAGAAATGGTGCACTTCACGTGGCTCGGCAGATTCTATTACCAAGGCAACTCTAGTACGCTCAAGTGTTTTCACTAGATATTGATGGACAGCACCAACAGCCAGTAGGGAGCTCACAGCAACGCGTTTCCTTGAGAAGGCTACAAGATGCAATGTGAGATACAAATCTATTAGATGGAACTGCGGTGTATATATTACAATACACAATACAAGTATAATGCAATACCTCTATCAGACAGCACAAGGGTAGTGTAGCCATGACTAATTGCATCATGTGCTTCTGCACATATTCTGTCCAAGGCTTCCTCCAACCCTTTCTTACCACGGCCTTTTGAGTATGTTATATCTATAACTTTGCTCCGCCATCCCCGGTAATTCATTCTTTTAAGGGCTTCCATTTCTTCGATGGATAAAAGGGGACCTTTTAGGGAAAGGGCATTGTGCCTCAGTGATTTCTGTCAAGTCACCTTCTGGACCAACCATACATTCCATGGAAGTGACTATTTTCTCTCGAATAGGATCAATCGGTGGGTTTGTCACTTGGGCAAACATTTGCTTGAAGTACTCAAAAGTGAGTTTTTCTCTATTAGACATGACGGCTAATGGAGTATCATTTCCCATTGACCCAAGGGCTTCCGTCCCATCTTTTGCCATGGGAAGTAATAACATTTCCAAGGATTCAATTGTATATCTGCTTGAACAAAGCAGAATATATAAAAACACTTCCTTTCTAAATACAATAGTTAAAATTAAGAAAATATTCAGGATCGATACGACATACCCAAAAGCTTTCAAAGGAGCCAGTAAACCATGAATTCCCATATTTTCCATATCCACGTCTTCACCAGATGTCTGTAAGTGTAACCATGGAAAAATTTATTGGAGAGCATTGCTTACAAGAAATTCATGCAAAGTTTAGAAGAATTTTTATTTTTATGCTTACTTGCACCACTCCTGCTATTGTTGGTGGCACTCTTTCAGATTCATGGACAGAATCAACTATGTCTTTCAGTTCTAACTTCTGTCTTTTCAGCCACTCCCCATATGGCCTTGCCAATGAATACTGTTCCTTTAAGGCATCATCATTTACAACAATATGCTTCTCAAAATCCACAAGAAGCATCATGCCAGGATTTAGTCTTCCCTTCCTACACACGTCTTCTAGAGGAATGTCTACAACCCCAACTTCACTCGCCATTACAACTCGTCCACTGTGGGTGACATAAAAGCGGCCTGGTCGCAGCCCATTCCTGTCCAAGGTTGCTCCAAGATAGTGGCCATCAGTAACTGCAATAATATTAAGTTAATACCAAATAAGAATTCATAACAAAGGTTATGTTACAGTTACAGAAGAAGCACATAAAAACCAGTCCAGGAATTTTACATGCTATAAGAGCTGGCCCATCCCATGGCTCCATGAGAGCTGAAAAGTATTCATAAAATGCTTTACGCTGAGGATCCATGTTCTTGTCATTTTGCCATGCTTCAGGAATCATCATCATAACAGCTTCAGGAAGACTTTTTCCAGACTGAATCAAAAACTCAAGGACACTATCAAAAGCTCCTGCAGAAGAAAAACCATATTACTATATGAAGTTTGAACATATCAGACAAAAAAAAAACAAATTCAGAAAAAAATAACACCTGAATCAGATGAATTTGCATTGACAATAGGCAAAAGCTTCTTTAACTCATTCTCCGATAGCCCAAGCTCCTTGCTTTTCAGTAGGCCTTCACGTGCCTTCATCCTACAAAATATAAGTTATTAGCTGGTATACAGTCCTTCACTAAATGGTATCCAGCGCAAAGCTGTTACACCTATTTCAAAATCAACCAGCATCAAGCTCGCAACTTGACTGGAACATGGTAGCCATTATTAAAAAAAATGCATCAACTCTCCGATTCATCCATTTCAACTGCACTGGAATATTACTGATACAACCAATTATATTGCCGGCGCAATATAGTATCCATTCTTTTAGATCTTAAATTACAGTATAATAATACTTATTCAAGACATACCAGTTTACATTCCCTTTAAGTGTGTTGATTTCTCCATTGTGGCCCAATACACGCATAGGTTGAGCACGATCCCAACTAGGAAAAGTGTTTGTAGAAAATCGTGAATGCACCTGCACATCATGTATGTCAAATTGTCAGTATTTATGGTTACTTATTATTACAGAATATAAACTATTGCAAAAATCCAAGAGCAAAAATTAATTCTTTTTTCTCCAAATACATCATCTATAAAAATATACAGAAGTGACAGTAGAAATTTCAGAAATTCTGTTCCATTTTTACCAAAATGATTTTTTCCCTTCACCACACTAACATGAAATTGTCTTCCGGACCAACTAAAACAGAACATCAGCAGAAATTTCTGTAAACATCATTATCTTCAGAATGAACTGTCTTACCAACTCACCCATTGCATCCAAATTCAAATAGTAATCAAGGAAGCGGAAGAACTTAAGAGATCATTCAAACCTCAATGCCTCAGAAGTCATTCCCCAACCTTGCATCTCTTCAGTTACTGGTTGTTCCCCATGCTGTTTGTTGGAGTATATAGAGTTAGTGGAGAAAGAAGATAAGGTAAAGGATAATATATTTACCAGGGCCATGTAGCTCGTAAACCTTTCATTGCCAAGGTCTGCAAAATAGTAATCCTTCAACTGAGCTGGTGTTAACTGACCTTTGTAAACAACAGTCCTGTACAAAATTGGATAGCAGTTTAAAATTGGAAACCATAATTTAGTTCTCAAAAAAAAATAAATTGTTCCATCTTGACAAAGCACCTTGATGAAAGTGAACAGATGTAGAAATCTGTGATGCCATCATTATGGAGGTCTAATGCAGATGTTATAGCAACCATGGAAAGCTTCCTTAATATATACATCTGCATGAAAAGAACATATTATCCATTAAGCATGGCGGGATGATTATTCAAATCTCACTTAAAACTAATCACACAAAGTGAGTTGAACCAAAAAACTTTTAATATCCTTTTCCACTCTTAACCCCCGTGAATTTAGCTAGCATATTATGCCAAAATCATGATGTGTAGTTTAGTAATTTACTTGAGATTTTGTTTCTTTCAGAAGAACTTTGGCTTCAATCATATGTTCATTTTTAATGTAAAAGTCATATCAAACATGTTACGTAGAATTGCTACCTGTCTTTCCAAATCAACTTTTGACTTGGTACTTGGAGTAAGAAACACTTGTTCGATCACTGGTTCAGTTAGCAGGGCCGATTTGCCCAATTCTGTGTTATCAGTGGGCACAGAACGCCAACCAAGAACAGAATGCCCCAGAGATTCGGCAACCTTACAACAAAAGCACAAGCACATTTAAAAAGGAATGTCACTAATATGATTATGAAATCAATATACTAGTTACCACCGTAATTTTAATAGCACAATACAATAAATACGCAGTACTGGAACTGCAGTACAACTTCAGTATGATAACAATAATATGATGAAATCAAGTTGAGCTCAGCAACCAAGCATGCATGAAATTAATTTTTAGACAAAATAAAGAAATTTCAACATTAAAATTACCTTTTGAAATACATTTTTGCTCTTTTCCCAGCGACTGTTGCATGTAGGCAAGAAAAGCATGCCAACTGCATAAGATCCTAGGGGAGGAAGCTCAAAATCCACAACCTGCAATTAGTCAAACCTATTAGAATCATCAACCTTTAGAGAAAAGAGGTGAAAAACACTGCATCAAATAACAGTAAATGAAAAATTGTGTGTTAATCTGATTGAAACTACAGAATCATCACTATTTATTCCTCTTTGTCTCTCCTTAATTGAGAGCTTCTTGCGGTGATTAATCTAATTATCAAGTAAAAAGGCCCTAGAAAAGCGCAAATGAAAATTTAAATAAAAGATGAAGAAATTTATTTTCATGAAAGTAAGACAAAAAAATACGCAAATTCTTTTGGTAATTCAAGTGTAATATTTGTAGTTGGGTTATATTTGGATTTTCAGAATTTTAGCAATCCAGTCATTAAACCATGTTATTATTGAAAAAATCATGTGTACCAAAATCCAGACAAATAAAATATTCTTACGTAAATTAATATTATGTGAAGTAATAATAATTTTAAAGGTTATTATAACAACTAAACATATACATACTTTGTTTTCCATCCCATTTCCATCTTTTTTTCTTATATTTCTTTTCCTTTATTATCACATCATTTATCTGATTTATTATTTTTTTGTCTCTTCATTTTTTTTACTTCCTGTCTCTCTATTCCTTCCACGTCTATTCACCTCATAGTGGGGTTATAAAAGTCCATGAAATGCTATTGACTTGATCTTATGATAACTTTGAATCCAACTATACTTATTCGATTTAGTGCTTTGCAATTTGAAAAGTCCGTGAAATGCTATGAACTTTAATCTTATGACAACTTTGAATCCAACTACTAATGGAATAAATAATAAATAATTAAAAATAATAATGAAATTCAAACCTTTCATAAGAAGCCAGGCTCCAACAAATCAAAAAAGGTTTAGAAAAAAAAAAAAAAAAAAAAAAAAAAAAAAAAAA